TCAAGGTTAGAGATGATAGCAGGGACCATGGAAGGGGTTATATGCATATAACTCAGCAGAGAATCAGTTCTAAGTTGGAAGTTAGGCAGGAATACTCCAGATGAGTCAAGAGTGAAGTTTGAAGAGAATTTACAGGAAAAGCATTCGGCTTTATCAGCAAAGGATGATAACACGTCAAATTGATTGAAGAGGGGGGCATAGAGCTCCTGCCCTTATTTAGTGCCCTTTTACAGAGACGCCTGTAGCCACGAGAGTCAGTTTTTGGAGGCTACGCGGTGCCTCATTCTCTCAGCAAACAGGGACTTAGCTTCTTCGGGGACTCGCTTACATTTGTTACGAGCAGTAACAAATAGGCACCTGTTATGACGAGAGATGTCACGCTGGTATAGCCGGAAAAAATGATTCCTGTGTGCCATGGCGGCTGAGCATGCTGGTGTGAACCATAGAGAGGACTGCGGTTTCACCTGGTACTTTCGAGGAGGGATGAAAACTTTCATGCCGGCTTTGACCCAGGAAGAAACCTTAGAGGTGGAATTTTCAATTAAGAAGTTGAAGATGTTCGTCCAAAGGGCGTAACGGAGAAAATCCAGGAATGAGTTCCAATCAGCCTGCTGGTAATGGAATGAGGTCTTATAGATAGGGGATCATTCTTGGAAGGAGATATCAATAACTACCACAGAGTGGTTCAAGTTACCAAGTGGCCAGTATTGTGAAGGAAGTATTGTGGGGGGGAAGGATGTAAGAAATATATCCAATAGAGAAGCATATTGCTCAGTTTGGCTAAGGTAACGCGTAGGGAAGTCTACGATTTGAGTGAGAGATTGGGCAATGGAAAAAATTAGTCTTTATCCCGTCAACATCAGTGCCTTTAGAATGTTTCAGACACGTGACGTGGTGAGCATTAAAGTCACCGAAAACAAAGAAATTCGCGGATGGATGAAGAGAAAGTGCCTTTTCTATACTGTCAGCTATTGCATCTAATATACTGTAGTCTTGGGATGAGGCGGAGCGATAAAGGAAAAGGAGATAGCTGAGTTTAGTAGCGATAAGTCTGAAGCTAGTGAAAGAGAAGTCAATAACCTCGAGAGACAATTCCCTGGCCATCGGAAGATTATCCCGGATGTAAACCCCAAGGTCCTGCATGTGAATTCTGGAATCTTTTCGGCAAAGGGAAGATACCCTGGAGCCAAGAATTTGTTGGTAGCAATGGAAGAATTCAAATTGGTTTCGTAGAAGGCAAAGATATCTAGCGACTTTTCCAGGAGAAAAGATTCTACGCTGCAGAAGTTGAAACAGATACTGTGAATATTGGAGAAAGAAAGATTGGGGGTGGGTAGGTGGTTTTATTTCTTTTTGTTTTGATTTCCATGAGATATGTTTTGAGAATAGAAAAAAAAGACCACCATAATCCTCACTGTCTTTCATCAATGGCAATACCAATCAGCCGGTGCGAAGCTGAGGGCAAAGCATAATGTAGCTTCAGTATTGCCCACCGGAAAGACATGGCACTACAGATATCCCGATATTATGCTCTACCAGAGATTTCGGACTCCTAACAACCAGTCGAAAGCACCAGCCATGAAACTTGACAACCCAATAACCTCATAATGGAAAGTCACAACTACGGGTTAGTGTGATTACCAAAGAGTTAAGGCAGTTAAATCATTGTGGCCCTGGTAAGAGAAAGAAAGAGAACTGGTAGACGATATCCTGAACAGGAAATGAAGGATGAACCTCTAGTCCTGTTCAGTAAACATGGAAGGATTGCGAACCGAACGATAGGTGGCCAATCTACTCTTACTAACCTGTAAAAATATTGCGAAACAATTCATATTAAGTAATGACTTAATATAAATTCAGATGTTTATTACCAACTAAAAATGGGTTGGTAGGACTTAATACACTCTTTTCGGGTCATTTTTTAGCATTGATAAGCAACATTCTAAAGTACACACATTCTAAATTAAACAAGTTGGGAGGAGGGGCTGAAGTAAGAATTTTGATAATTAATAGCAATGGGGAGAACAAAATACACACGTCTCAATGAAGGGTAAGCGAAATCATCAGTCCAAACCAACAGACAACAGAGAAAAAAATGCAAAAATAAAATAAAATTCAATGAATGACACAGACATTTAAATATCTACAACAACAAGATGGCACAAGGCAAAGTAACTTACATACAGACTCAAAGTTCATTTCTCCGATCAATATGGGACATGTGTCTAAATTGGAAATTCCACGTCGTGGAGTAATGGATAGAGGGTTGGATTGAGGTATCGGAGAAACCGAGTTCGAATTCCAGTCGAATCCCTTACATTCACTTACGTAATAATACCATTGGGATAGGTATGGATCCTCTTCTCCTCCACTCCCCCAGCCATGGGTAAATAGCAGGAAAGACCAGGTTCTATAGCCTTGGATGGTAACTGGTCTACCGTAGAAAGAAATGGCAACATACTGCGGGAAAAAAAATTCTGCCTCGTCAGTCATGTATCGAAAGATACCTGATCGCCTAAGCGTGTATCGCGCATGGCACATAACTGACTGATGTTTAGCTCTGACCGTACGATCGTTAAAATCACACTAACGAATGAAAGAAAACCAGTGCATCTTGTTCTAGGGGATCTGGACCATAAAAAGTGGCATTTTATTGGAAAAAAAAACGAGAGGAAATCAACAAAAATTCCCACTGCATATAAGCAAGTGACAAAATAATTCTAAGTACGACTTTATGATATCACCGTTAAATGAGAGCGAAACCAGCAAGAAGAAACTAATTTGTTAAGTCTTACGACATTCGCTAGAGAAAGTATCGGGATAAATAAGATGGCAGAAAGAAAGAGAAACGCAGAACGTTCTGGCATATCGTTATCTTTCAAGACGAGTCCTCATTTACTCAGAGACGTATGCATCTAAAGATTGTTGAGCTAGCGAATTTGATGCAATGCAGTATAAAATATTGAAGAGATTTAAGAATGGTGTTAGGAGCATTTGAAGATGGTAGAAATATTTAATTCAATAAAAAAAAATCTATTCTGTTACAGGGATTTCTCCCCAAAAAGACGATTGATATTTTAACAAAATCAACATCCTTTTGATGGGGGATGGAGCCGGATTCGATATTCTTTGATGGAATAAGATTTTGTTGCTTCGAAGATCGATGTTTAAACTGAGCTTAAATTTCGGCATGAAACTTAGAGTTGTGCAATCAACGTAAGGTATTTTGTATGTTCCTTAATATATATCGCTATGCGCATTGCTCTTCAACTGAATTGGCCACTGACGTATTTCGCATAGAAAAAATTTAAATTCCCCTCACCCTTGTCGTGCGACAGTAGCCTAGTGGTAGAATCTCTGACTGATACCAAAGCGGTGGGGTTTCGATCCCGGCTTGAATCGGATCTGACCACATGGGAGAGCTGAGATGCAGACATGTAGTCTGCCTTAGGATGACATTATATATATATATCTATATACGCATACTTTCTTTAAAAATGTATAATCATTGCAACACAGAATTTCCCATGTTTCAAAATTGATTGATAACGGAATTTTGTATGATTGAATTTAAATTGAAGTTTCAGTTTTGAAACATGGGAATTTCGGTGTTGCGATGATAATATATTAAAAAAAAACAATTATAATATTATGCTCTACTGTTGTATCGAGCACTGTTTTTTAAAAATAAAAATAAATGTTAAGAACTCTGAATTATAAATCTCATTATTCTCTTCTATTATTTTCATACATACATTCATATATATATATATATATATATATATACTGTGTATCCGGAAGTTATCTGAGTCTTCCTTCAACCAAGTCCTTAGCTCTGTAAACTTTGTTAATATGCTTTATGTTGCTTATGTTGCATTTTACTCTACTCACCAGTGATGAATGAAAAATGAATCTACCGCACACACAAACACACACACATACATACATACATGCACACACGTATATACATATACATATATATATAATTACATCAATGTATGTGATTAACAAAGTGATACTTATAAAGCCCTCTTTGTAATGCTTCCTGAAAAATATATATGAATGAAAAGGAATGACAAATGTTTATTTGCCTGAAAACCAATTTTTCTTTCTACTACTTCTTGTCATTCACCCTCGAGAGTTTGTGCTTTAGTTTTATTGATAAAACGTTTAATTAACAGACATCCTGCAGCACTTTTCGATATTCCTACAAACAAATGTATCTCAACTCCTTCCTTCCTTCCTTCCTTCCTTCCTTCCTTCCTTCCTTCCTATCTATCTATCTATCTATCTATCTATCAGTGTTCTAATTACTTCATTATTCGACCTATGGAGGCATACGCATTTAGTATACTTTCACTGTCATATATTGCAGGCTATTGAAAATATGTTGTGTTTTGATAGTTTGGGGCAAAAATGTAATTTTGCTCCTGGCCGTAGTGAAAGATTACACACATACATTTCAGGGTCAATGCCACCGCCCGGATGGTGGTTCGAGTGGTTCCAAAGCAACTCACCCTAACAGTTTGCCACCTAGCTCTTCTGATTGAATCCTTTGGTCTACTACATCATTGAAATGGAGACTATCTAGCGAATTATATAATACAAAGGGCTTGTTGAATATATATATATATATATATATATATATATATATATAGATAGAGAGAGAGAGAGAGAGAAAGAAAGAAAAGAGATATATAAACAAAATAGAATGAGAGAGATATAGAGTGAGAGATTGAGAGATACGCACACTATATACAATTAAAGACTGTCTCAATAAACCGATATTTTTGTCTTCAGCAGTATTTTTTAATTGATTTCCCGCCAGAAGCCTTCTCAAAATCCAACCTAATTTGGAAATCGTTTGAATTCCTCTAAATATTGATCACCAAATATTCACCAGCGTCAGATTTTATTGAGAACGCAACAATCCTTTGGACTAGTTCAAAAGGACACTTTCGATGCACTCCCTTGTGAGGGCTTAAAAAATCTCGCTCGGATTAAAATAGATAGATAGATAGATAGATAGATAGATATGAAAAAAAAGGACCAAATACTATTAAAAGAAAACGATTGAAAGAAGGAGAGGGAGGGAGAGAGAGAGAGAAAAAGAAAAGAGAAACTGGTACTGTGATGTGATTAAATGGGTGGATATTTTCCGGACAGATAGTTCATGTTTTGCATTTAAGCTTGTCTTTATCAGATTTTAGTGTTTGTATGCGGTTCTAATTCCCTAAATTTGCTTCAGAGGAAAGGGAAGAGAAAACACATAAAAGAAAGAAAAGAGTTTTTTTTTTTTGTTTGTTTTTTTTTTGTTTTTGCTTTTTAAATCACATTTTTACAAGACATTATTCGACCAACGTTGTGACAATCACACAGCGGACACCGGCGTAAACATTCTGCCACCCTACAACAGGTCCGAACGTGATTATTGACGATCCAGTGTTGGAGAAAAAGAAGAATAAAAAGGTGAGTGCGATAGAAATAAAGAGAGCGAGACCGAACGAGCGAGCGAGCGAGCGAGAGAGAGAGAGAGAGAGAGAGAGGAAGGGAGGAGGGGAGAAGAGAGAAAATAAATTCTTTTTCTTTCTTTTTGACTGAGGCGTTATTTTCTTTTTCTGTTTTCCCTCTCTGTTTCTTTCATGCAATCGTAATCCCCTCTCTTTTTTACTTTTCATATTTCTCTTTTACTCTCTTTGCTCCACTATCATAATCATCGTTACACTTACTGGTTTTATTCATTTTTTTCATACGCATTTAAAGGAGGCACGGTGGAGTGATGGATCGGATTGAGGAATCAGAGAGCCGGGTTCGAATTCCAGTCGAATCCATTACATTCCCTTATGTGCTAAGGCATGAATTCTCTTCTTCTCCGCCCCCACCATAGGTAAATAGTAGGACCGGGTTATATAGCTTTGGGTTGCAACTGGTCTACTACATGAAAAAATCTTGTCCTCGTAAGTCGTATATCGAAAGATACATGATCGCCTGTGTATCACGCATGGCACATAACTGAATTTCTCTGGTCTCTCTTCTGGCTTTCTTCTTCTATTGAAGCAGATATTTGATAATTTTATTATATCCGGAGTTCTTTGTTTTTTTTTTGTTTTTTTTTCAAGTACAAGTATTTTACAAATAAAAATCATGATTATTTACGTATGGATCAGCATTGCTTCCAACTGTTGCACTCCATCTTTTGGGATGGTAGAAGGCACCTGATTCCGAGGATTCCAAACCCATGGCAGCACCTTCCTCATTGCATTAAGAGAGATTTGAACCTGGTTGCAGGAACACTCAGCTAACTTCCAGGTATTTCATTGGTCTCCCAGTTCGCGAGATTTAAACCTCATTGCATGAAAAATATTGAAGGCCTCACTCAACTCGCTGAAGCGAGTACCTAGGAACTCATCAAACGAAACTTACAATGGGCAGCACTGGAAGTTCCAGGGATATATATATACTCACGTAATAACTCCTGCAACATATAGACTAAGGTACAGAGCCGCCGTTATTCATGGAAAGGGAAGAGATACGCTTTATCAGCTAACTATATATATATATCAACTTCACAGCCTTGCGGACGATTGATTATTTTCCACCATATAACTTCTTTCCCACAGACAAAAAGTTGCAAGCCTCTCACTACTTTATAACTATTTCCATGAAAAGTGTTTAGACGAACTAACTTCCTTAATTCCACCAGTTCAGACCATCACAGCTAAAACTTGCCCTGCACACTGTACCAAACTAACTCCATTCTCTTTTTATTCCACTCGAACAGCTTCTTCACACAAACAGCTACTTTATGGAACTGACTCCCAAGTGGGTGCTTCCACGATCAGTATAATCCTAGTCATATAACCTCATAAACTCTGCACCTTAACTCTTACTCCGTAACACTCTAAGTCGAATGGCTATTGGGCCTTGCAGACAGTGAACATTGTTGTAAAAATATAACTATATTTCTAAAGAATCAATGGATTTACTTTTTTTATCCAACATTTTTATTACTGCAAACATTATTATAGTGGATTTAGATTTATAGTGGATTTAGATTATTAGTGGATTAAGATTTATCGAATGTGCAGGAGAGTAGAAATAAATATAAAACTGGGTCGTCTATTTCAAATACGACCCTCACTAAATAACGTTTAAAGTAATATATATATATATATATATATATATATATATATATAATAAAAAGGCTTAAACACTAATATTCCATGGTCATAATTTATTCCATTGGAATCGTAAATACGATCCAAATCATCAGACCTACAAATTCAAAATGAAAACAGAAAAAACAACTCCGGAAATCAAAACAGAAATTAGAGAAAGTGTAAGTATGAGGAGGAGGGAGATGAAACCTTAACAGAGAGAATTTATAGGAGATGTGGGGGGGGTAATTAAAAAGAGGAGAGAAAGAAAGTCGACGGATGTCTAATGCATAAAGATACATTTCGTGGTGACATATACACACCATAGACAATTAGAAGTTAGGAGGTAGGGGAAAAAAAAAAAAAAAAGAAAAGAGGTGGGAGAGAGAGATGGGACGAAGGAAAATAAAATTGTGTTTACTTAAAGGGCCGCTTTGTAATTGAGAAAATTTGACAAATTAATATCGACTACAGGTTAGAAATCAAATATAAATATATGAAGATGAATATAACGATTGTCTAATTTAGCAAGGACCAAATATTTCTTTAGTTCAAAAACATATACTAATACACACAAAAACATATACGAGTAGGTACATACACTTAGGCATTTACTCACACACACACACACAGACATACGTGTACACACACATACATATATATATATATATATATATATATATATATATATATATATAACCTAAAAATATTAAAATATATTAACATATCCACACATACACATATTCATCTATATTCATATACACACACACTTTTCACATACATATACACATGCCCCCATGCATATATTCATACATACATACATACATACATATACATATACATATACATACACATACATATACACATACACACACACACACACATATATATATATATATATATATATATATATACATACATACACAGATAGAAAGAACATTAAGATATATCATCCGGTGTTCGAAAAATTTGCTTGAGGATGAAATGGAACTAATGTCTTTAATTTAATTACAAAATTAAATTGGGAGCTTTCAGCTTCCATTTTTGAAACATGATTAGAACTGTATAGCGAAAAAAAAAAACATATTTTAAATCAATTAATTTATATATATATATATATATATATATATATATATATATATATATATATATATTACCGTAAGTGTTATTTTTGAGGATGCACATGTTTGAGTAGACGTCCTGTTTTGTAAAAACTACAAATTAGGTATCGCGGTTACTCCATTCGAGGACGTAATAAAGAAAATGTGCGATCCGGCAGAGTTCAACCTTCGTTTCACGGAGTGTATATTTTCTCAAACGCACCGGCTGGTAGACGTAATTTGCACCGTTTGTAAAAACAAAACAAAAAGCATCTATTCAAAAACGTCTAGAATAATAAGCCATAATGACGGATAAAAATCCATTAATTTTTATATATATATATATATATATATATATATATATATATATAAGGAGCTTCCCCCCTTGTTGTTGAGTTTTTTTTTTGTTTTTTTTTATTATTTAATACTGTTTTAATATGTCTTGTAATATTAAATTTTATACTTTTATTTCGATCATTAAATTTTGTACCTACAAAAATATCTTTATATATATATATATATACGTGTGTGTGTGTGTGTGTGTGTGTGTGGCTACAACAGGGATTGCCCAAGCAGACAAGTTTGCTAACCATTACGCCACGTCGAGGTGACCGTAAATGGTTTTTTCACGAGGCCGAAAGTGTGGAGCATCTAGTGAGGATCGAACGTACTACTTAGTCGTAATTGATTTAGCGAGACAGGCTCGCTAACCAGTGCAGCACGTCGAACCATCAAACCAGGTCGAAGTGCTTACCTAGCAGAAGGGTATGCCCGGAAAAACGAGTTGCCGGTTATTTTGGCATTTCAATTAATGATATTTATAAATATGGGTTTATGAAGATAGGATAATTATTTTAAGTGTGATTGCAGTGTCAAAATGTTGATAAAGGTTACTTTGAATAAAGACCAATCTGACATTGGTATCCCCTTTGACACTCGCCATTGTTTGTTTTTCTTTCTATATCGTCGTGTGTTATCAAAGTCATTTTATTTTATATTTACTAAGCTCAGATTATTTTAACTTAGGACAAAATGGGGATTAAAGCAGAAAGAAAGTTCGTTTTATTTCCCCCATTTATATGAAAAATAGTTTTCCTGCCTTGGAAGCCACAATATTTTAGGTGACGGCAACAAAAAAAGCAAACAAAAGGTGACAAAAATATTTTTTTAAATCACACAGTTGGTCCCATTCCGGTATTTGTTCTTCGATTAGATTCACATTTAGACCTGACCACAAAATAAGAACAAGCACGTTCACAATGACAATAATGGATGATAAATGTTTTTAAATGTTTGCGACTGAAAAGCTGACGAAGACGTTTTTTTTTTAATTTTGGCCCGTGAGATTTTTACGCGAACGAACAGTGTTCGGTTCGTATATGTCAGCTTTATGGTTTAGCATTTTTCTATTAGGGCAGGTCGATTTTTCATTTCTTTTTTAGAAAATCAAAACTGCAATCAATGTGAAATCTGCGGTTTTATGTGAGAAGTACTGATACCAACAATTCAATTTTTCATAGCTTTTTTAACAATTTTTCACAGCTTTTAACAATTTTTCATAGCTTTTTAACAATTTTTCATAGATTTTTAACGATTTTTGAGCATTTAGTTTTAAAGGTCGTCTGAAAAATGTACAGAAATACCTAATTTCCGCAGGTTTTTGCTTACAAACTGACTTCAAGATTTTACTATTTCAAAAATAAATCCAATTAAAGTTAATATCTTTTTAATATTGAATGGAAAATATATTCAAACCATAATTCTAATTATGATTGGCAACAAGCGAAATATTCTATTTTTTTTACTGTATTCGATAAGTAAAAACTGTAAAATTGTAAAAGATATCAGAAAAATTTACTCAATGAATAATATTTGTAAGATCATAGTTAATAAAAACAGAAAATAGATAAAAGTGTATATAACACCATACTGCTAGGATAAAAGACAAAGCGTTTTTAATTTGCATTGTTTATTTAAAATCACACTGAAACTATTGTACTTGTATAACATCATAATATAGCTAAATTATTCATTATAACTTCCCTTTGAAGTAAATGACGATCTTATTTGATGGCCCAATGATTTAGTAATAATATGCCTGTGCCAGGCATCTTGTCCATATCCAATTTGTGAAGCTTCAGTAAATTATATATTTTATAAGGCTGTTCTATAAGGTTTTCACAGATCACCGGAATTAAATTTTAACGCTGTGATTTTGAACGTAAGCTTAAACGTTAAACTCGTTTCCTCAAAAAACGGTGACAATTTGGAAAAAAATATTTTGTGTCTTTATTTATCATGTCAAACGTCAACTTTCAAACTGAGTGCAATACCACAGTTCTAAAATCGACCTACCTTATTTTCCATTTGTAATTGAATGTTTTGAAATATTTTAATTTCTTTATAGAAGTAGTCGGTTTAAATATTTTAGATAAACCGATAAAACTTGATTGATTGATTCGTTTTCAACCCTTTGCAAATTATTTAAAGCCAGAAAATATTTTTAGATTGCAAGTATTCTTTTTAGAGTTAATAATGATTTACTAATACAAGTCTTACTAATTAACCCATAGCTGGGGGAGAAGATCTGGATTCATAACTTTCTCAAGGGTATTTGTGCGTAAGTGAATATAACAAACCCAACGGGAATTGGAACTCAGCTCTCCGATTAACAATTCCGAGTCATTATCATTACACTGTGACCGTCCCACGGCGTTGGATAGGCCTTCCGAGAACCAGACCACGAAGGTCCCTCGTCCCGGAACGAATTCTTCGTCGACAGCGACGAGGCAGGTAGCTAGAAGCCGGTCGACTCCACCCACAGTGAACTCCCTTGCCCACGCTGTGAATTTGATCTCAAGGAAACCACGTGGGTTTTCGCTAGGTGTCTCTCCGCCAAGTCGAACCAATCCGGACGCGGACGCACAATTTGGTAAATGAAACGGCACCAAATATAAACAGAACAACGCCTGAGTAAGTTGTAGAAAAGAAAGTCTTTATATACAGAAGAATTCGGAGTACAATCACCAATTGTCTTCTTCCCAACCTCTGTTCCTAACAAGCTGACCACGGAACGGAAGTCTCGACTAATTTCTTTAAGGGGTGATTTTCAAGTTTTCTGGTTGGCGTTATTTCTTCACACCGAAGCCTCGCAGAAACTGACGAAGACTGACTCCGATTGTCGCGGAGGTTGGCGGGCGGCGGTGTTGGTACTTCAAGCCTCACTCCTCGGCTATTCTCCGGCTCAACTGCAACTCAATTGTACTGCAACTGCAACTGCACTTCGTCATTACCCCCTTGGGACTCTGTATTTATGCTTGTCCATTCTTTACTGGGGTGGGGACGACGGTCACTGGGGTGTCTATGCGAACCTCATCTCAGATCCTTGTTAGCCAATGAAATTAGGGCTTCATTTCTTTCTGTCTTCTTCCTTCGTGACACAGCCAATGAGATAGCATTATTTCTATGACATCATTCTTTTCGTCTTCTACCCTCGTGACACAGCCAATGGGATAGTGTCGTCTTCATGACGTCACTCCTTTTCTCGGCCCTTTCTTTCTTTCCAAAATACCAAATTAGTTTCCCAGGAAAATTTAGTTTTTTTTTTTTCATATTTCACCAATTAGCATAACCTTTGAACCTGCCATAGATAACCGAATAAGCAATTTCCTTATGACACATTTTATAAATGCGTTTTGGCTTTGTTCAAATTTAGAATTTCCAAACTACCTGTCCTGTTTAAATCCTGTTAACAAAATTCACTTCCAACTCATTCCGTTGGGGGTCAGAGGGCATCCATTGTTCTGTATTGACACATTTTTTTTTGTTTACAATCCACAGCTGGAAAATGCTTTCTCCTTGATTAAACAGTCCTGTTTCATAGCTGTCGTCAACAGTTGATTGACCCACCACAACCTCATCCAATATGACTGTTTTACTTTGAGAATACCATGACTCTTGTGATAATTTTACCTGCACCTAATTCCGGTTTAATTATAACTCCTTTCAAAAAAAAAAAATCGTCTTTTTTTTCTCTGTTCATATTGGAAACAGAATAGAACATCACCTAATATAATTTTCTTCAGTTTGGTCTCTAATAATCAATAGTATAAACTAATGCAATTTCTTCCGTTCGGTCATGCTAAATATTGTTACAACACCATCCGTACATTCAAGCTTACAGCACCTGGTATTCCCAAGTGGTTACCCATCTAGTTACTAACCAAGCTCAACGTTGCTTAACTTCGGTGGTTGTATGGTAATCGTTATTGTAACGTGGCCGTAAGCCCCCAATAAACCATATAAAAGCTTACAATGAAGGATCAAGAAGTACATATCATGAGGATATGTAGAATAGATAAAGGTTGACCCTAGACTTGAAGAAGCCATCGGGGAAGCATCCTCTCGACTTGCCGTTCCTCAAAGCAACAGTTCTGAGTGAAACTTCCTCCTTACAAGTGGTATATGAAAGTTATGATGATGAGTTGACAGTGTGCGTGGCGTTGTGGGACCTAGTTGGTAATGTCTTGACTGGTGGAACCAAGGAATGTAGTTCACCTGAACATCTGCCATGGAAACAGTGATCGGGTAACGAGAGCTTAGCAACGTTTCGACTGTGAGAAAAGGGGTTGCAAGGTGGAAAACAATTCGTCATCCACAAGGCAGCGCAAATTCTTTTTGTACTCTTTTGAGCCTGGGAAATGATATTTGGACAGCAGTATTCTATTTGATGACTACCCATCTTTCTATGGCTCACTCAAGTAGATTAAAGGACAACGGTAAGACGGTTAAAAACAAAATGAATATGAAGACAGTTATAGAGAAAGAGCAGTTATAATGCAACGGCCTTACAACCTTTTCTATTGTTTTGCTGGCCGGGATTATGTGGTTAATCAACAACAGTAATAGTAAGAAATAGTAAGAAAAACGATTATGTGAATATCGTTCGAAAATAATTGTTTGAAAACAATTATGCGAAAAATATTTATTTATATTGTATATTGTTTGAATGAAAATTAATCAATAGGACAATTATACTAAATGATAATTATTCAAAATGCAATTTACTTTATTACAATAAAAATGTAAAAATTAAAAGAGGAAATACACAAATGATAATTATTCGAAAAATAAATATCTTACTTATTATAAAACGCAGATTGTGTGTGTGTGTGTGTGTCTGTACGTTTATATATTGGATCGGATTTCCTACATTTTTCAACCGATTTCAAAAAAACTTCACAGGACTACGTAAAATTACCTTGCGGTGGTTCTGACAGCGCCAAAAATTGGAAAAACACAATTGTTTTTGCACGAAATCAATTTGAAAACACGATAAAACATGATTCTGTCACCAGAATGAAAGGGGAACAACTTATATCTAGTTATACTTATTATAAAACCCAGGTTGTTTGTGTGTGTGTTCGTTTATATATAGGATCGGATTTCCAACATTTTTCAACCGATTTCAACAAAACTTCACTTTTTTTGGCAGGTAGTGTTTCTTATTATCTTGCACACTTTTTTCTTTATTTTTACATTCAGAATGCTTTAAAAATTCCATTTACAAGACAATTGTTTATAATAAAATTCTATTCAATCGGTAGACTCATAACGATTGAAAACAATGTTTTTGTTTCAGTTTGGGTTTGACCCATTCGTAAAAAAAAACAAACAAACAAAAAAAACTAATTAAGACATGCGTTTACGTCAACCTTAAACAATAATCTTTGTCAATTTTATTTTTCAGTCTTTATGATGGTCGATACTTGATCTATCTCTTACTGTTACATCGTCGGGCAACGCCGGGCTCTACTGCTAGTCGTTAATAAAACTATTTAGTAAGAAAAAATCCTTATAAGCTTAAGTTCTTATATGATATTTATGATACTGCACGCAAATAATCAACTACTGAGAAGAGATCTCGTTAAAGATGCCACTATTTTTTTAAAGTTTTCCATTCACGTCGCAGTATTTCTTGGCGCTCTTGATATTTTGGCAACCTGCTCTCTTTTAAGAGCGTCTAAGAATTTCCATATTGTGGTATGATAGGATGACACTTGCTGCAAAAAGTCCTATGTCATCCTTCAAGGACGTTATTAATTCTAGATAAAACAGCACTGAGAAAGACCACATAAGTATTTTAACTTCCGGGGTGACTTCTTAGCCCCAAGAGAACCACGTGTAGCATGCAACAATACAACACAATATACAAACATTACACAATCAGACCACAATAATATATCCACTACACAACTTATCACATCTTTCAACACAAGAAAATATCCTCCTTCAACAAACTACTAACTTAATCACTGCTATAGTTGAAATGCTTTGATTCTCAGAGAAAAAATGTCAAAATTTGACCATAAACTAAAACCGATTATGTAAACATTGTTCAAAAACATTTATTCATATTGCAAATTGTTTGAATGAAAATTAATCGAAAGGACAATTACACTAAAAATGACAATTATTCAAAATGCAATATCCTTTATTACAATAAAAATGTAAAAATTAAAAGAGGAAATACACAAATGATAATTATTCGAAAAATAAATATCGTTAATTAAAACTATTTAGTAAGAAAAAATCCTTATATGCTTAAGTTATATGATATTTATGATACTGCATGCAAATAATCAACTACTGAGAAGAGATCTCGTTAAAGGATGCCACTAATTTTTTTAAAGTTTTCCATTCAAGTCGCAGTATTTCTTGGCGCTCTTGATATTTTGGCAACCTGCTCTTACTTTTGTAATATGAATTTCTTGCAAGTCTCTTTTAACGGCGTCTAAGAATTTCCATATTGTCGGATGATGGGATGACACTTGCTGCTGCTGCTGCAAAAAAACCCTATGCCATCCTTCAAGGGCGTTATTAGTTCAAGGTAAATCAGCATTGACTCTCTCAAGGCAAGACCACATACGTATTTCAAACATAGGTATTTCTCCATACGGATTATGTTTATGTCATTATTCTCTCTTCGAGTGAGATTTTCTAGCCATTTTAGTTGTTGCTGTTGTTGTAAGTCTTCAAGTGGTATAGTTTCTATTATTTGGTCAATTACTCTGCTTTTTGATTCTTCAGCGCCAGTCGACGAGATTCGAACAAGGATGGTCTTTTCTAAGTCATACAGGCTTTATTCACTCGAAACAATTTTTAATCATTGATCCCGAAAAAATGGCATCCTTTAACGATTACTCTTCAGGAGGTGACTAATACGGGCAGTAGTATATAACTTAAAGTTAAAAGGATTTTTCTTACTAAATTGTTTTAACGATATTTTTATTTCGAATAATTATAATTTGTGTATTTTTTTTTTTTACATTTTTACTGTAATAAAGTATTTTGCATTTCGAATAATTACAATTTAGTATAATTGTCCTTTGGATTAATTTTCATTCAAACAATTTACAATTCGAATAAATGTTTTTTGAATAATTGTTTCCGAACAACATTTTAGATACGAAAAATCTATGCGTTCTACGATCAGCAAGTTTTTAGAAAAGCGGTCTGCAAATATAAAAGTGTTCTATGCAATAACGTTGATGGCTTGAGCAAAACAAAAGAATAATTCGACATTCCCACGCTGGGTAGGTACGTAGAGAGAGAGATAGAGAGAGAGAGAGAGAGAGAGAGAGAGAGAGAGAGAGAATGTACTTACCATTTTAGTAGAAACGTAAAAAATTGCAAGCCCGATAACTAGAATGGTTTGATATTGCATTAGTAAGGTAGAATGTTTGAACACTCTACTAAATATTTTCTTTAATATTTAGCAAGTGGCAAGACAAATTTTCAGGATTAGTCAAGTTGTTTTCTGAATACGTCTGTCAAGTAACAACATTGAGTTTCTGATTTTAGTTATAATATTTATTTGAAATACAAGCAGTTTTGTTTGTTAACTAAAAATAAAATGAAACTTATTTTTGCATATTTGAATTTTTTTGAAATTATTTTTTTAATATTGGACTTAATTATTTTTTCAAAATAAAACCGTTTTTAATTTCATTTTTATTTATCCAATAAAAAATCAAATAGAATACCCAAGACAATATATAACAATAAAATTAAGAACTAAATACATCTTCCATATTTTAAATGGGATGTTTGAAAACTCCACAAAGCTTATGTTGTAACAATGCCCACAGTAATAATGGAGGGTTAGTATGTGTTTTGTTTTCTGAAATTGTAAACATTCATCTTTTTGTCATATTAAAGTGAGATGATTCTTATTAACTTAATTTTATTTATACTTTGTGGCATCTGTTCAAGTTTATATAACTCCTTTCATTTTTCACTCAAAATACACGCTGAGCGGCTCAGCGGTGGGTTAGAATATTAAATCCTTTTAAGTCAAATTACTGTTATTTTTGTTAGCACTTAAGCTAAGAGATATCCTTTATGTGTGCTACGTTTTGCTTACACTTATAATGTTTATTTCTTCTGCTAATGAAAAAAATCAATTTTTTTTTAATTTTCCAATTATTGTATTGCAAAAGTTACAATATTTTACAAAATGCAAAATATTTTTAATATCATTCTTTTTCTAAATTTTCAAAAACACCTGTACTTAAACTGAAAATAAAAACACATGGTGAACAACAACAAAATCTATTCATTTTTTAAAAAATTTTCTTAACTTTTAGGATATTCAGCAGAAATGCAGGTTTCCCACATGATCTGAAAATACTGGCGTAAATGTGATACCATTAATTTATAAAAAAAAAAAAAGAAAGAAAAAAAGTGTTTGCAGACCCTTAATCGAAAAGCTTAATTATCTCCAGCGTAAGACACATAGGAAGCTCTCTTAAGTTTCGCACACATTTTCTTAATGTTGGCCTAAAAGAAATCGAAGATTATAGGTTGTTCTTGCCAATTTCGCCTAAACGCTATTAGGCGGCGCTGTTAACAGCTATAAAATCGGCACAGTTCCTGTCTTCTCTTTCTTTCCTTTCTTTTCCTTTTAATATGCGGTAGAAGTAACACCAACACGGAACTTGTTCCCAGTATGAGGATATCTTTCGCTGAGTTACTGATTTTTTTCAAACACACACACACACACACACACACACACACATATATATATATATATATATATATATATATATATATATATATATATATATGTATATATGTATGTATATATGTGTGTGTGTGTGTATAAATTAGGAGCAGAGCCGTAACAAGATAAAGCATAATGATATACACTCCAAAGCTGAGGTGGCTTCATGTTGGAACACTGAGTGTCGTACACTTAAGGCTATTTTCGCCAATTTTTCGTGAAACCGAAAATCTTTTTCGGATTTCTTGCTCTTAACGAAAGCAAATACAAATGTAAGTCTTTCGTATAAACCAATTGGTGTAAAATAGATTTTAGAAAAGCGGATGGTACTTTTATATACAGGATACGATTAGTAAATTTTCGCCATTTTATAATTTTTAATTTCGCGCATGCACGTTGTTTGTTTTTCATTTTGTCGGCTGCACTGTATAGTACGGTCAGTTTGGCACCGTCTGTGAAAAAAAGAGCATCGTGCCGTAATTCAATCCGTCAGAAATTTGGAAACAGCATGTACTACTGCTTGACGTTCGCGCCGGAAACTCCAATACAAATATTTCAGAGTGTCTGGGTGTCAATCTTAGGACAGTGCAGAGCGTTCGGAAAGAGTTGGATGAGTCTAATGGTGATTACGAAGGTGTTTGGAGTGATCACTAATGATGGCGAAGTTATGCCTCCATTCATCTTCCCATAGGGCCTCAGACACGGAGGATTGAGGAGGTAATGCGGCCCTGTGTCAAGAGGGTGTCTGCTGGAAGAACCTATGTCTGGCAACAGGACTCTGCACCATGCCACACATGCAAGAGAACCCAGTCATGGCTGTCAGACAGTTTCTGCGACCACAACACCTCTTAAATCTGGTCACCTAACTCCCCAGACTGCAAGTGTGTCGGGCGCAGTTGATTGAGAGACCAACAAAACTCCTTGTAACACCAAAGATGAACTGAAGTTAAGGATTATGGCAGCATTCACCAAAAGGGCTGCAGGAGATTTCGAAGTCGTTTGGAGTCCGTGGTTGAAGCCAATGGCGATTTTATTGAATAAATTTATTCTACAGTATTTCAAGATATTTTTCTATAATTTTGGTAAATATATCTGTTAAAATGAGAATGCCAGTGTTATTTTCATTTTTGCGTAATTTAGACGACAATTTATCTATCACCTGTATATATAACCCTGTATATATAATAAGAAATGTACAGATGTAAACTGTAATACCCGTTAGGGTAAATTTACTACAGATTGTATTTATTTGTTTTATGCACAAAGACAGATAAGACATAAGGTAGTTTTAATGTTGGGCCTCATACTCGTGTGTGTAGCTAGTAGCAAGTTCCATCTGTTAGACATTTTATGACGGTCGTCTTCGAGTATAGAATCCAGAGGTTAGCAGTGAATATTTCGGAGACAGTAGGAAAGCGTAGTTCAGGTTAGCAGTGGATATCGTAGCAGAGCGTAGTACTTCCTTCTGTCATCTTCGCCTGACAAGCTGGCACTGGTCATTCGGGTAGGAAAAACAAAAATGGCCGCCTTTATACACGACGGATAGAATGTTCTGCGTCTTCTGATTGGTTAACCTTCTATTGGTAGACTATAAAGCGAGTCAAGGCATTTGGATTGGCTCACTAGTTACATAGTATACACAAAAAAACTGTAACACCATCTGCCTTTGCCGTCAAATCAATGCTACAACTTAAATCGTAAGTTTAATGGGGAGGTGCTGCATGAGAAATGGATATGCAGATACAAGGTATTATCCCTTTATAAGGATTCGTAGGAAACAATTTTATTAGTGATAAAATTTAAAAAAAATGAATTCCGAAGTTTTAAAATAAACTTTTTATTTTTATTTATTTTGTTATCGGGAAGTTTAAAACATTTTTAAATGATGGGTTAATTTTTTTAAGGAATGAAATAATGTTTTTAAATGCTAAAAATCCATTTTTAATTCATTTTATGTCTATCAGTTTAGATATATATGTGAGAAGAAGAAGAAGAAGAAGAAGAAGAAGAAGAAGAAGAACAACAACAACAAGAACAAGAAGAAGAAGAAAGCGAAATGAAGAGGAAAAATGAAAAAAAAAAGGATCTGGAGATGAGGAGCTAAAGAATGCTAAAACGAAAAAGAGCGTTTCGGCCGTTGTACGCTCCGGCCTTCTTCAGGTGATTGAAATTTCGGACTGAACTCTTTATTTCGTCCACCGGGGTAGATTGTACAAGTTCCACGTGCCATGCCTCTTCCGGATGTCTCATTTAGCTCCCTTTGAGTTAAGTGAACGGGAAGATAGAGGGTTCAGTTCGGAATGCCAATCACCTGTAGAAGGCCGGCGGTTACAACGACCGAAACGTCGTGAATATGACAATAAAGATGAGGACAACAGTCCGAACAATGTAAATAGTGTAAATAGTTACGATACCTCATCTCAGAAATATAAACAGATAAAGAAAAAGAAGAAAAGAGATTCGGGAATGAGAAATGAACGAAAGACGAAAGAGAAGATTACGGTGATGAAAAAGAGAGTGGGAGGAGAGGCTAAAAAAAAAAAAAAAAAAAGAAATCAGAAAAATAAAGAAGCAAATAGAAAAAAAAAGGAGGAAGAAAGTAAGAAACAAACGTTGATGGTGGTGCTGTTGTCGGTGTTCGTGGTACTGGCGAAAGAAAAGAGGAACAAGAAAAAAAAAAAAAAGAAAGGGTGAGAGAAAAAGTAAAAAAAACGATATGGATAAGGAAGAAGGAAATCAAGAATAAATAAAAAAAAATAATGATTGTAGAAGAAAAAGAAATGGCTCGGTAAGTGAGTGGTTAACGCGGGAAATTATCTTTTAACAAGATTAAATAACCAACCAAAGTCTCAAGTGTCAGTCTTAGCCATATTAGAGACATCAACTACTCATTTTTTTGTAGCAAAATAAAAACTGTTTTTTGCCTTTTTACTTTTTGCTTCGCAATTTTATACGTGTGTGTGTGTAGGTGACAGAAAGATACAAACAGACACACACGCACACACATGTATGGGATAACGATATACATATATATTTATATGTCAAGAACAATATTGGAGAAAAATGTATGACAAAGTCGAAAAGGTTTTCTTGTGACACGTTTCGTTCTTTCCGCCCGATGAAGTCCTAAGGACGAAAACGCATCACAAGAAGATTTTTCCACTTTATCATACATTTTCCCAAATATATATATATATATATATATATATATATATATATATATATATATATATATGTGTGTGTGTGTGTGTGTGCGTGTGCGTGTGTGTGTGTGTGTGTGGAGAGAGAGAAAAGATTATCGTTTTTAAAGGTTTCACTTTTTATTCTAAAATTTACTTGCCAGCAATTTGTTTTTAAAATTATAATCTTTGCATTTTATCCTGGATCGAACACTGACCTCTGTCAACACTGGAAATTAATTCTTTAACAAATCACAGGTTTTGCAATATTAATGGCAGCGAATATTACTGAAGGGAAAAGATCCTATATCGTGTTGCTAGCAAACACCTACCTATACACCCCAGTCAGTTAAAATACCATACGTCACTGGTCGATCATGTCTTATTCCATTCATGACTGACTAGACAGAAGACCTTCCTGCAGTAGGCTGCCGTTTCTTTCTGCGGTAGACTGCCTGTCAACCAATGCTATAAGACTCAACTTGTCCTACTAGAGGAGAAGAGATGGATTCATATCGTTCTCAAGTTTATTTGCGCGCAAGAGAATGTAATGAACCCGATTGGAATTCGAACTTGGCTCTCTGATTTCTCATTCCGACCAGTATCCATTACATCGCCAACCCCATGGATATAAATGCCATACAAAAACCAATCTTATTTTATAATAAGAATAAAAAGACATGGTCTTAACACTAAACATGCTTACTTCTTACTTCCAACAAATGTGAATTAAGTTCATGCATCTAATGTTTTTTCTTTTTCTTTCAGATTTAGCGGACATATTATTTTTCACACATAATTGCCATGACTTAAATAATATGATCCAATAGAGAAAAAAAATTTTTTTTATCCACAACACTGATTTATATACTGCTGACTTTGATCCGTCATAATGAAACACCCTTTGAGCCGTTGCTTTTTTTTTTCATTTATTTTTTTTTACTAATGTTCACGCAATACAAGGCCTAAGAGCCACTCGAAATAGAAGGTTACTGTATGATATTGTATGTGCGTAAGAAAGAATTGAAGTTCTTGGGTCTATGCAAGAAAGATAATACCGATTTTGTCTATTTATTTTAAGTAAATTCCTTTCATATTGTCGAATAAGCTTTTTAGCATTATCAATGAAACACGAAAGAGAATCACTATGTTGATACATGTTTTTATTGTTAATCCTGTCTAAATTATTATTATTTAATAAATTATTATTATTTAATTTATTGTAATGTACTTGTAATCTCTGATAATGGCTTATGTAAGCCGAAAGCTTAGACAGGATTAACAATAAAAACATGTATCAGCATAGTAATTTTCTGTCATGTTTAGTGATAATGCTAAAAAGCTGATTTGACAATATGAAAGGAATTTACTTAAAATAAATAGACAAAACTTGTCTATATTATTTGATGAAAGATGCGTTAATGAAAATATGCTGCACATTTTATATATATATATATATATATATATATATATATATATATATATATATATATATATATATATGTCCATTTTCAATGCCTCAAAAAGGGAATAATAATTTTTATTGGTTACAATTTTTGATTTTTACATAATTCGTCGTAATAGCGAAAGTGTTACTGCAGGTGTTTTTGCCATGAAGTTGAGCTGTCACGGAGCCAATTTCAGTAATTTGGAAACCAATAACCCCGCACGTCTCGACTGTGACCGACAAAAAATTGTATTTGTCCTATAACTGATCCAGGAGAAGATTTCAATGTTTTCAGGGTGCAATTTTCGAAGGCGCTTCAGTATAAAGATGCACAGATACATGACATTGCCGTCTGTGAAATGAAAAACGGTTACGCCTACCTACAAACTTGAACAGGTACGAAATGCAAGCTATGTCTCGATCTCTTTTGACAATTTCAAAAAACCTGCGCGTCAGGATAGAAGACCAGCGCTGCGATGGCATGACAGTGAATGAAGAGCGAATTGATCGATTATAATTCCGTAGCGACAGTAATGAAGTCCGCAGATGCGAAATTCGAGGTTGAGAAATAAGTATATACCAACACATATAACACCTACAACAGATCATATGCATACTATATATCTATAAAATATGTGGTGACTCTGAAAGTTTAAAATTGTGTACAAAATATATGTATTTGAAGGTATACAATTACGTTCAAAAGATATTTAGTTAAAATTATGTTCAAAATATTTAGATTTCGAAATTAAATAACTAATAATTTAATAATTAAATAAGTTGATAAGCCGCTAAACAAAATCAACCAAACCAACTTGCGCATTAACAGACTTTCGCATGCTTTGAAAGATTTTTTTTAACCGATACACCAATGTTGTCAACACGATTGATGTCATTATATTGAACTCAAAGAAAAGCCGTTTACTGCTATGTTTTGTTTAAAATTCAATAGGTACTGAACATGAAAAATTGAATGAAAAGTTTTGATAATTTATTAGTACAAAGAATTTGCAAAAATACTTATATTTTTAAAAAGATCGAGTAAACTATTTCGTTACTCTCGTAGTACGAAAAATGACAGGGTTATTTATTCTTTTAGATAAATTAAACACGTATCTCTCGATATAAAACACAATGCGTGTTATATATATATATATATATATATATATATATATATGCATATATATATATATATATGCATGCAGATATATATATATATATGTATATATATATTCATATATATATATATACATATTCATATATATATATATATATACATATTCATATGAATACACATATATACATACGTATATTCATATATATATACATCTGTATACATATTCATATATAAATATATATACATATATATATACATATATACATATACATATATATACATATATATACATACATATATACATATATATATACATACATATATATACATACATATATACATATCTATACATACATATATACATATCTATACATATATCTATATACATATACATACATATATATACATATATACATACATATATATACATACATACATACATATATATACATATACATACATATATATAAATATACATATACATATATATATATATATATATATATATATATATATATATATACATATATATATATATATATATATATATATATATATATATATATATATATATATATATATATATATATATGTATATATATGTATGTATGTATTACGTTAATACTTTTCACTTTACGTGCAGATTCTGTTCTGGACCTAGGCTGTAGGCTGAGTAGGAAAAAAGTGCTGATCTCAAAAAATCACATTATTTTTAACTGGTGGGTTGGTAGAATTTGTATTAATTTTCGTTCCTTATTTGGGTCACTAAGCCGTTTATTTGGAACGACATGAATAAGAAAAAGAAAGGTAAATTCTGGTTTCTCATCCCCCATTCCATCAGAGTCATTCAAGCTGCGTCCGCTGTTTATTTGCTGTGACTTTTATTTCACAAGAATAGGCGCCAAGAGCCACCAGAATTGTTCTCCGCACCCTTCTCCCGTGGGGAATAGCAGTACATTTAAGACTAGTGATAATAAAGCCATTTCAGAGGCGCAACATCAAAACTAAGAAGTATTTGCATGCTTCAATAACAGTCTGCAGTGTTTCAATGAGAATGAAGTCTGAAAAGATGTAGTTGAAAATATTAGCAAACCATAACAAAAAGCTGAGAAGAAAATAAAGTTGTCGCCCCCGAATATAAGCGAGTGACTAAGCAGGAAGCAATGAAACATATCGATAGGTTGCAGTGATATTTAATGCAAGAAGATAATGAAAGCAGTCCGTTGGTTTTACGGAATACCTACGCTGGTTTCGATCTGGGAGAGTCTGCAAACATCATTAAAAATTGTAGTAATTTAGTATAGTATTAATTCTATCATGGAAATATATATCAAATAATTTTGAAATGTTTTCTTTGAAAGAATTACTGAATTTTTTTGGTTTTTGTTCAGTAGTATTTCAGTTGCTATGATTTAAACGGGAAATCAGTTTCACCATACATGTTCATGACTAATATACATACATTAATTTATATATATGTCGATTCTCAAGATAGCGCAACAATAGTCAAAAATTGAAGAAATGTTCAAAGATCTTGGGACCAACTTTAAGTTTCGCGTATACACAACTCTTCAGTTTAAGCACTGTTCTTACTATATTAAGATGGAAGAAATCTGGGATAAGTACACATTAAACTAGATAAATAAATAAAAACCGGGTCGGAAAAAGTTATAGTCTAATTTCTACACAGTTAAAATAAAGTCAAGCGTTCACCCACATAACGTAACACATTTTTTTTCTTACTATTATTGTATTAAAATTAATTTTTTTATTGATGTCACTGGTTCATCGGGGTAACATGTCAAAATTGAAATTTTTCAAATTATCTCATATATATATATATATATATATATATATATATATATATATATATATATATATATGATAAAAAACGAGGCATTTTTTAAGTTCTTACAATTATTTGTGAGTTAGTTTTAAATATACGTTTTCAAAACATTACCATTTAACTCTAATCTTTTTGGTGGCTCTGGTCTTTTCACTTTTCGTAATCCTGTTCAAGCAGTTCGTCATTGCTATAATAAAGGCATTTCCAGCTGGAGTCGCCAGTGTAAGAGAGATAGCTATTATTTCTCCTTTGCACTGCCGACATTAAAAAATAACTTTGTCGACAAAATATACATTTGTCATAATATATATATATATATATATATATATATATATATATATATATATATATATATATATATATATATTCGTTTATTTTTCTTTATATATAAATATATATATATATATATATATATATCCGCATAAAATAGTTTTAATGTATGGTATATCATTGGTAAATGTGCTCAGTATGAGGGATAGAGTGTGTGTAAATATGAAATTGGACACTGGGGTCAACAACACCGAATAGATGACATGATTCATGCTTGAACGCATCAATTATTAAACACTCGAGGTTGAACTTAGCGTCAACTTACATATACACCTACATACACACACACACGTATATATATATATATATATATATATATATATATATATATATATATATATATATATATATATATATATATATACATGCCATATGATATATATATAGCACAAATACACATATATATATATACATATCCACTTACATGCATACATATACGTTCGCGTAAAGCAAATGGTAACGAGTATTCCTAAAGACAATCATATTCTGATAGAATATATATATATTTGCCCGGGTCATTTTTTTTTTTGTGCAGTTCATCAGTTCGAGTCCAACGTCAGGATTTCGGATATATATATATATATATATATATATATATATATATATATATATATATATATATATATATATATATATATATATATATATATATATATATATATATATATTCTCCGGTTTTATTGTTTCTTTTATTTCCACAGGAATTAGCCATTTTAATATACGATTTAAATTTTGGGCGCGCTTCTATCAGATGTATCTGTCTTTTTCAACTTGGTTCCTTTACGGATATCACTCAGCAGTGCCAGTCGTCCGCTTGATGCAGTCCTCGTAGGGACAGAGCTGGTGGGTGGAGAGACAATAGGTACTAGCGGCGGAAGCGGGGCCGGAGGCGGTGGTGGTGGTGGTATATGTTGAACCAATGGGGAATGCGACGCCAGAGGTTCTAGTGGCAACGTGTAACTGGTGCTGGGTCTTGGTTCCAAAAGAGTTTCCCGACTTGACGTTGTTGAAGCTCGTCTTTTTTTCAGCTTCTTTCCGCTCGAAAACCTAAAGGTAGCCAGAAAGAAAAAATAAATTAATTTTGATTTGAAGACAACACTAATATTTTCCGGTCTTCGTCTGCTCTCGACCGATATTTAAAAAAAGATCCCCCAACAAAAAAAATAAAATAAAATAAAATAAAAATACACAAAAAAAAAACGCTGTTTTTCATACAAAACTCTTGGTGTTAAATCGCTTTGGCGAAATTGAACTCAAAAGTTCTATTTTGCCAAAGGCATTTAATGGTTTATCTTAATGGTTTATCGATTATCAGCGCTGAAATTCGAGACAACGATCCTATTTCCAATTCCCATCACGTCTCTTCCGATTCCATTCTCACAAATGCATTTGGGAAAGACTTGAATTCTTTTCTAAAATAGTAGGGTAGACTGGTCTTTCCAGCCTTAGGCGACCGCCATTCTAGGGGAAGGATTATTTTGAATTCAAAACCGTGCAGAAGACAACAGTAAAACACTCCGCTATCTTTCCCAAGAGGACACGGGAATTCACAGATAGTAAAGAAAAGAAATCTGTAGAGAGTTATGATCGCTTACATCGTAAAATATCATGCACTTTAAAAAAATAAAATAAAAAGTTATTTCATAATATCTAAACAGGAAGCGTCTATGGTTACGCACTTTCGTCCAAATTTTAGTCTCATTCACAATTAATTTCTAATTAAGGTACTTTTTAATTGAGATATAGATACATATAAGAAGATAGAATAAAAATGCTATGGATTACTGTTTAATAATATGATTTTTTGTGAAAAATTTATTTAGAGTTGTTTGCCACATGGTATTCTTCTATTCTTCATATAATAGGCGGTACAGAGACATTACTCCTTCAGATATTCAAAACATATCATAATCATTAGTATTCTAACCTGAAATATTTTTTTATAATCTTTCCATATTTTTTCAATAGTAAATGCATACATTTTTTTATATATCTATATTTTTAATTAATGTAAATTTCTGTATCTAAATTAGATACAGAAATTTATATCCTCCATTTTACATTTACAATTACATCGTCCATTTTTTAAGAAAAAAAGATCAGAAATTCCCTTTTAAGACCTTCAAAATAAACTTAAAAAAAAATCAAAATATTCAGAAAACTCTAATTTAGACAAATATTCAAATATGTATTTTTAATATCGGCTTACATTATAAAATTTATTTATTTATAACCGTCCATTTTTAACACTAGTCTAATTACTTAGATAACGTAATACTTGACAAACAAAATAAAGTTTACAAAATTTTTAATTAATCGATAACTATTTAAAAAATCAATTTTCAATTACTATGGTTAAACTGAAGAATGTTTTATCGCACTAATCGAGTATTACGTATGCATTTTGATATATAAAATAATTGGAGTACTAATCAAAAAATACATTGATCGAATGCGCATTAATCGAATGATTTCTGTACTTAAATTGTTTTATTGTTTTTTTTTTGTTTTTTTTTTGTTTTTTTTTTTTTCGCCTACAGTTTTATGATTTTATTGTTTAACCCAGGACAGGATTTGCCTAGATTTTGTGGGAAGGGAATATGTTATCCCAGTTTCTTATTTCAAAATCATTCAGTATGTGTGTATGTAAATCACTCACGCATATGCGCATAAATTAAATGTAAAGTTACACAGAGAGGCAGTGTGTAACGGAAAAATCAGAAAATCAAATTGGTAATTGCATCATTTCTAAAGAAAATGATTATTACGAAATAGAAAGAGAAGAAAAAGAAGAAAAAGCAAAAAGCGCTGAATAGCTTTCAGGATGATTTCATTTTGAAGAGGAGAGTAGGAAGCTGTTCTAGAAATTGTATTAGTTTACCAATATCCTTAGTCTGGCATCAGTATTTTTATTAGCAGCTGTAGCTGAATATGTATATATTTTTTATTACACACACAACACACAGTATATTATATATATATATATATATATATATATATATATATATATATATATATATATATATATATATATATATATATATTATTTACATTATTCGGACTATTGTCCTCATCTTTGTCGCCATATTTATCACAACGTTTCGGCCATTGTACGCTCCGGCCTTCTTCAGGTGGTTGGAATGTCGAACTGAACCCTTTATTTCGCTCACTGGGGTAGACTGTTCTAGTTCCATGTTTGATGTCAGATATCAGGTATCTCCTGTTAATTTTCCCTCTGAAAGTTCTCCACTTAATCGGGTATTGAACTCACACTCTTTAATCTAACCAACGCCTTTATCCACTGTGCCATGTGTCCTTGAGGAATTTCTGGGTATTATAAACCTAATGTCTTCAGCAACCATTTTTATCAGTGCTCATATTGCAATTTTTGTTGTTATCATTACATGTTTTTATCAGAGCTCATATTGCAACTTTGTTGTTATTGCTTTTCTCTGGCACTCCTTATTACTGGTTCCCATATTGTATTTATTTCTATGCTTGGTCGGCTCAGGAGATTTCTGTGACCTAGCATATGTGCTGATTCATAAGTTTACGAATTTTCCAATGGTGTTCCTTGTCTATGATCTCAACATGATCCCACAGAGGGTGGTGATCTCCCTTCTCTCTCCATATGTGATCAGCCACGCCTGATGTTTCTACTTCCCCTCGTGTTACAGCTTTCTGGTGTTCTTGAAACCTTATCTTGAGGGGGCGGCCTGTCTCTCCATTATATTCCTTTCCGCAGCTGCACGGGATAGCGTACATACAGTCTTTAGTCATGTTCTCCTCTATGGGGGGTCTCACTCGGGAGAGATATCTGCGAAGTGTCGTCACGCTTTTGAAGGTTGTCCTGATGTTATATGGACCGCAGATCCTTTGTATTTTCTCTGATAACCCCTTCACATAAGGCAGACTGTTTTCTGAGTGCTGTTGTCCTCCTCCTCTTGTACCCGCCTATCCCAGTTTTGGGGGGCTGCTGCCATGTACCCAGGGTAGTTGTTACGTTGTAGGGTACTACTTATACTGAACAATTCTTTATCTAACGTCTCTGGGTCGCCACTTATGACTTTTGCTCGGGGTTGTAAGCAACGGACGATCCCTTTCATTATGCTGTATGGATGGTGGGAGTTGAAATTGAGGTACTGTCCGGTGAATGTCGGTTTAGGGTATACGGATGTCTTAAACCCATGCTCTGTTCGGGATATTAGAACATCCAGGAATGAGAGTGTGTTGTTACTCTCTTTCTCCATTGTGAACTGTATCGAAGGTCTTATTGAGTTCACATGGTCCAGTAGAAACTGAACATCTTCCTGGTGTGGCCAGTGTATGAAGGTGTCATCTACGTACCTTAACCATATAGTTGGCTTTAGAGATGTAGACTCTAATGCTATTTCCTCAAAGTATTGTGGTAAGTGGTAAGTTCGATCCTGACTGGGTACCCATACTTTCGGCCTTGTACCACATCTAAGCTACGCTTAGAAAATCAGTATCAAAGTAACCCCTGGATTTTTGTCACCTAATGCCATTTTTCACATATGTCTTGTATTCCGTCATAAAATAAAGATTCCCTTTTTGATTATAGGATTTCATCGCGAAGATTAATATCTTCATATTGTTGGAACAAAGATTGTCGCATGGATCGAAACAAGTGATAGTTTGAAACCACATGCAGAAGAACTGAAAGTGCATGCAGAAGAACCTCCGATTCAAACTTCATGATTGTTGCCTGTGTCGCGTTTGCAACATGAAGATGGATACTGTCATGCAAAAACACCAAATTTCCAAATATCCTTGTTCAAAGAAAAGTCAAGTTATACAAATGCGACGTTCAACACAAGCAAATTGTTTACGGTAGTACAGGTTTCAGCAATTTGGGTTAAAGAATTATCTTTGTATTCTACCAAACACAAAGAACGTTTTTTCACACTTAATAGGTTCCGTTTAAGTTGATATGATCAAAGCTGTTTTAGCTAGAATTTTCTCTATTTTGGATTCTCATAATTTTTTTCATAGCCAGTGATTATCTTTTTACAAAATTATTTTTCTGTGTCTCATCTTAAGAAGAAAGACAGTTGTTAAAAAAGGATCGATATTTATTTCATAGGAAAGCCATCTTAATATCTTTTGAATTGTTAATCGTAAACAGTATACTACAATTGAATGCAAAAACTATTAGGAATCATATAAACTTCAAAGAAATTTCACTGATTTTCCTAAAATCTAACAAAAAATGGTATTGGGAACTTTTCCATCAACCTATAAAAATGCCAGCATATCGAAGAGACATTTTGTTTGAGCGCATGCGCAGCAGAATCATTGAATTGCTATTTAACCTTAATGAAAGGAGTCAACATTAAGCAAAGTTGAAGCTAAAATGGCATAGCGTAAAAGAAGGATGACAAAAGGTATGATGATGAGGATAAGATAAAATAAGAGAAACAGGAGGGAGGGGAAGGATGCTTACTTTCTAACCTCTGGTTCGTCTGCAATAGCAATGGTAGTCCTTCGGCCTGACTTTGACCTGTTTACAAATACGAATGCATGCAAAACAAAAGATGTAACTTGAAGGTGACCAAAGTGGTGCATGTATAAGCACAGTAAAATTTTAGAAACCAATAACAACATTGTATAGTCACTGACACAATCGAGCTGCGGTAGATTCATTCGTGGTAAACATTGACAAATGAAATGGTGATAAATAAATCAATTGAAGGGAATTAATGTCAGCGAAAATACACCAAAACGCTGCAGTTGATCTCTCCTTGCATCTACTTCTCAGGGATTTTTTAACACAAAGCAAAATAATAATAATAATAATAATAATCACAACAATGGCAAAAAAGAAGATATTGAAAAATCTATAACCAAGAAGTAATCTACAAGGTTTGCTCCAAAAGTAATACTTCCTAACTTATTATGTAGGTCCATGACATCAGAAGTAGATTGGCAATAGAATCTTCCCGCCAATAAACCATAATATATTTTGCCATTTTACAGACAACAATCTGACAAAATAGCGTCTAACGTGAAAATGGATACGAAGCTGATTTGCGGCATACTCATCTCACAAGATATTTGCATTCTTGGACATTCATCGACGATTGCTTCATGTTTACAGTGTTCAAAGAGTGATTGATTTGTTTTTTACAGCTTATTAACCATTTGCAGGATATGTCAGTTTTTTTTTCTTTGAGATACTAATGATTTTCTGATACATGCCCTACTATTTTACTAATAAGTGGGGGTGGAGAGGAGGTGGATTCATACTTTTCCCACGGGTATTGGCGCGCAAGTGAATACAACGAACCCAACTGGAATTGGAACTCTGCTCTCTGTTGTGACCAAATATATGGTTAAGAAATAAAAAAACAAGATATTGTAGAGAAATAGTGTATTGAACAGTAAATACAACAGAAGTGTATTACACGACGTGGTAGTGTGTGTCGGTTGACCAGAGTTCAGTCTATATTACTATTAATATTTAACATCCCCCATCACCACCACAAGGGATATATGTGGCAAAAGGCCGAGTTTAACGTAGGCCATCCGAGCCCGTAGGCTCGACCAAAATATTCCCGTAGAACCCGCATAAACGGGTTCGGGTCTGTCTACCTGCCCGGACGAAACTCTGCCCTTCGGCACAGCCTCGTCCGGGTTCCTCTCTACTCAAGGCAGAGAGTTCAACAGGAGCTGCGAACAGTCACAGCTTCGGAAGAACAGTCTATATCACTGTTAATACTTAACAGCCCCCCACCACGAGGGATGTATGTGGCACAAGGCCGAGTTTACCGTGGTTTCTCCGAGCCCGTAGGCTCGGCCAAAAATATTCCCGTAGAACCCGCATAAGCGGATTTGGATCTGTTTACCTCTCAGGACGAAACTCTGCCCTTCGACACAGCTTCGTCCAGGTTCCCCTCTGCCAAAGGTAGAGAGTTTGACAGGAGCTGCGAACAGTCACAGCCCGGTAGAACAATCTATTCGACTGTTCCCACGAGGTTTACTTTTCCTACTAACTTTATAATAAGTCCCAAATAACCTAATTAGAGGGAAGACATCACAACACTCTCCGAGGTCTCATTCTGAGTCGTTATCCATTACACCCTCCGAACACCCAAGCTTACAGCACCTGGTATTCCGAAGCGGTCACCCATCTAGGTACTGACCAGGCTCAACGTTGCTTAATTTCGATGACGGGACGAGAACTAGTGTTTCACCGTGATGTGGCCGTAAGCTGTGACCAAAGAGTGAATGTTATCGCACAGACAGGTAATGCATTTCAGGCTTCGCAGCCTTTAGAAAAGTGGGTTGCCTTCCCTGGAGTAGATTTCTCCGTGCCTGCATTACAAACTTCGTATCATCGCAAGCGAAAAGACATAGCCAGAGACGACATCGATGGAAAAAAATGGTGTTTTGTAATTGAAAACTTGCTCTATCCAAACGTGTTATTGAGCTCCCTGTGTCTGTTTTAGTTTCTGAAGAAATAAATAGGTGGTATTACTTTCGGAGCGATTCTTGTAGGTATGTGAAGATTATTATTGGATTTGAAAAAGAACGACAATATATAGTTTGCACTGGATGTCGGAGTGAACAGTTCGTTATCAAATGCATCAATTTCACTTATTGTTTAGTTCAGTTACTCTAACAGAAACGAATCAATATACAACAAAAGAGTAAAAGTATAAAGTTATCATTAAATATATGGGAACATTTTTTTTTATTGTTGGTGCTAAAAAATATTTGAAAGATAAATAATAAAGGAAGAAATTCACTACTGAACCAATAGTTAAAAAAAGAAAGAAAAAGTAAAGAAAAGAAAATAACGTTAGACATGAAATACTTTCCTAAAAATTCGAAAATACGTCCCGCTTTAAAGTTATTTCATTGCAATCAATAAATAAGAAAAGAATAAGAGAATAAAAGTATCTGCAAAATGTTATTTAAAATATTTAAATGATAAATGATAGAAATCAGTAATACTGACCAATAGTCAGAGATAAACAAAACAAACATTACGACTCAAAATGATTTTCCGACAAATTCGAAAATTGAATTTGGATTATTTCATTGTCTTACCTCATTAATTATTATTAAATTATTTCATGGTCTTACCTCACTAATTTTCCTTTTCTCACACTCCTTAACTGGTCTTTAATGTTCACAGGAAGTGGAATCTGTAATGAAAATAAAACAAACAAACAAATAAGATATCATTAAACTGTTAAAAAATATCAAAGCAAGGTGTTGCCCCAAATTTCCAGTAATTTGAACAAATAGATCAATAGAAATTGGATGACAAAAATGTATACATTTTTTTTATTTAGATTATATATCGAAGCCTGGTGGACGTCCAGATGGAGTAATGTATAGCGGCTCAGAAAAAAATCTGAGAACTGAGTTCGATTTCCAATCGGGTTCGTTATATTCATATATGTGTAAATACCCTTGAGAAAGGTATAGATCTATTTTCTACCAGCTAGTACGATTAGTATTAAGAAAAATCATTTTAATTTTAAAAGAGTGTTTATGCAATATTCACTCTCCATAAAATCATTACTCTTACAATTCAAAATATTTTTCAGTTTTAAATAACCTATGAAGAATTGATAGACTGTAAAAAACAAATTAATGTGGGAGCACAAGAATGCTTTTGAACGAAAATTTTCAATTTCTTCTGCAACCCTCGTCAATGCTTGACTCCGAATTGTTGTTTATATATATATATATGTGTGTGTGTGTGTGTGTGTGTGTGTGTGCGTGTAAACTTTTGCGAAGGATAATTCATAACTTGGAGAGAAAGATGAATAAACTCAATAATGACAAAAAGTCTATACACTTTTATAAGTCGTGTTTTCAAACATACACACACACACACACACACACACACACACACACACACACACACACACACATACACATATATATATATATATATATATATATATATATAATGGCCGAAATACTGACGTAGGCCTTGAAATGATTAACTATATACAAGAAAAAAAAGATGACCCTGGCAAACTTATAAATATTCCATCAAAATCTGACTCTTTGAGAATTTTTGTGTGGTTATTCATTCACATCATAGCAACAGAAATTAGCCTCGTGTTCACGGAGATAAAAGAAAACTTGACAAAATAAAACCTTCAGAATGAACAGGACAAGCATGGTAAATTGTATGTTAATTTCATACAATTTATTTATATTTTTGTGTATTGGTATGTGTATTTTTTATGTTAAAATTTTTTTTATGCCACATGTGATAAAAAGGAGAACTTACTACGTAGTATTACACGCCATATCACAAAGAGAAGTCAGACACGCATTGCTCGTAATAAGGTTCGTGGTGAAGAGGTTGAATTTAACGTCTTTTGGCGGGATGTCCGTATTTCCGACAGGAACAGCTTTTGTTGCATATGAGAGAGTTTTATTATTTTATTATTTTTATTATTCTTATTATTTATTTAATTTATCTTAAAAAAGGTTTGAATTTTATTGTTTTATTTTATTTATAATTTTTATTTTATTATTATTATTATTATTATTATTATTATTATTATTTTATATCTCATATTTATTTATAACAATACTAATAATATCCCTACAAATATTCATCACAATTTGCTTTATGTGAAGGAATATGTATGTGAGTGTATATATATATGTGTGTGTATTAGTATATATATATATATATATATATATTGTGTATTTAGGCAGCATTTTTTTCATTGATGTATGTTTCATTAAATAATATAGACAAGTGTTGTCTATTTTATGCAAATTCTTTTCATATCGTCTGATAATCTTAATAACATTAGCATTAAACGAAGAAAGAAAATCACAATACTGATATATTTTTTTAATACTATCTAAGCTTTCGGCTTACATAAGCCATTATCAAAAATGACAATTACATTACAATATATTAAGCAATACACAGACAAAACAGTGATGATAGTCTGTTTCTGTTTACATGGAAGATTTTCAAACAAAGACAAACTCGTGCATATAAGACGCTGGAAGCGAAAATCGAACCGTAGCTCATGACGTCACACATGACCAGGCGAGAGTGAAAACGAGAAGTATTAAGTATGGGAAGCCGTTGGTATAAACCAATGGCTTCTGTTACCAATTATAAACCGGTGTTGAGCTTCAGATTTGTTGGTAATTTCCGTGAGTCTATGCGTAATTTCCTCCAGTTGGTTCGGGATAGTTATATCCTTTAGTTTATCGTAGATGTCCTGTTTGTTGCTGTTAAGGGTGTTCAATTTTTCCTTTTCTATTTCAATTTGACTTTTTACAAGGCTACATTTATAATTCCAAGTGTTGATAGTTTTGTGGGCTGCTGGATCATGTATTTAAATTGTGTGTATTTAAGCAGCATTTTTCCCATTGATGGATGAAATGTGAAGCTCAACACCGGTTTATGATTGGTAATAGAAGACATTGGTTTATACCAACGGCTTCCCATACTTAATACTTCTCGTTTTCACTCTCGCCTGGTCATGTATGACGCAATGAGCTGCGGTGTGATTTTCGCTTCCAGCGTCTTATATGTACGATTTTGTCGTTGCTTGGAAATCTTCCATGTAAACAGAAACAGACTATCATCACTGTTTTGTCTGTGTATTGCTTTATATATTGCAATGTAATTGTCATTTTTGATAATGGCTTATGTAAGCCGAAAGCTTAGATAGTATTAAAAAATATATCAGTATTGTGATTTTCTTTCTTCGTTTAATGCTAATGTTATTAAGCTTATCAGACGATATGAAAAGAATTTGCATAAAATAGGCAACACTTGTCTATATTATTTAATGAAACATGCATCAATATATATATATATATATATATATATATATATATATATATATATGTGTAAAAGAACGAAGAGTAAAATTTCAGCGTTCAAAAGTAGAACCGTAAATATTTATTTATTATGCAGTGTTACATTAGAACATGCACATACCCACTACAAAACTGTACATCTTGTTTCAACGTTAAATCTTTTTTCAACGTTTCTTCAGGTGGGAAATCACGATGCTATTAAAATATTTTATTCAGAAATGCAGTTATTGAAGTATATCCTTTACTTCCGCCATTGGAAAGTTTCCCATAAAAGGTAAAAAAAGAATTTACATGTGGGGAAAGAAAAGAAGCTAAGTGATTAGTAACAGCGAGAGGGAGAAGAGACATAAGAGGAAAAAGGTCAAGAAAAAGAAAATAAAGGTTGAAAATAGAGGGGGGAGGTGATATAAGCTAATTATTCATGGAATGTAAAAGAATAAAATGTAAAATACTGTAGTACTAAAGTATTCTTAAAATACTGTAGAACACTTTTACATTCCTTGAAGAATTTTCTCCGAGCACAGAATGTTTTCGTTTTAGAAACATTAACCTAACCAAACTATGTTACCGTTAAAGTTCAAATTCTATGAGTCAACTGAATTCCATTTTCTAAATTTATCCCTTCTTAGTTTATATCATCTCCCCACTCTTTTTTTTTTTTTAGTTCCGACATGGCATCACGTGTTCACTTACTTTCCCACCGGCGTAACGTAACTTCCTTGTGCCTTTTCCAGAAATATTTTCATGAAATAAGAAAAAAAGAAAGGAAAAAAGGATGGAAGAAAGAAGGAAGAAAGAAAGAAAGAAAGAAAGAACCTCCTTTCTTTCTTTTTTCTCCTTTCTTTCTTTCAAGAATGACAAGAGGATAGAAGAAGAAGAAGAAGAAGAAGAAGAAGAAGAAGAAGAGCAACAACAGCAACAACAAAAACAACAACGACGACAACAACAACAATAACAACATATGTGTCTGTGTGTGTTAGATATACGGTTCATCAAAAAGAGAAGGTAACACTCACATGTGAAGGTTTATAGTTCTGCAATACTGGATGCGGCACGTCTCTAAAAAATGGTAACATGGAAATAACTTCCAGAGTCGGTGATTGTCCTGGCTTATGGTTGAATATAAAATCCAGCACCTGAAGAAAAGGAAATAATTGGATTGCAATATAAAAGACAGAAATGCCTAAAACAATTCCTTCGTTTTTTGTTGTTTTTTTTGTTTTTTTTTCAATTCTCTTTAATTATAATAGGTTATGAGCAACCATTTCTTCAAATGTTTCCAAAGAAAATTAGTATTTCATTAATAAGTCTCTAGTGTTTTATTAACCATTATAAATTTGTTCACTAGTATTTCATTCCTTTTATTTCTATTGTTGTTTATTGTGCTAGTAGTATTTGATGTACCAGTAGTGTAGCGGTTATAACTTTTAATCATAAGCAAGGCGATAATGCCGCTAAGACACAAAAGGTTCCTAGGAGTGAACGAGAATGATAAGACTTTAGAAGGAACGGGAAACCCAATCTTAAACCGAAAACAAGGGAAGGTGTGTGAACCGGGCGAGAGACGACCCAATCTGCTTTGTAGTATAATATTTAAATTTGTATATAGTAATTTATTTTGTATATGATTTTATATTGATTAAATATATTTTCATGAAGAACGTGTAAGTTTCAATGCTACCGTTTAAATTGTCAATGTTTTCATAACTTATATGTTGATGTGTTAGAAATAGTCATGCCCTTTTTATTGAAACATAAACCATCGCATATATATATATATATATATATATATATATATATATATATGGGGTGTATAAAGTGGTCATTGAGGACAGCACCCAAAGTGAGATTGATTTATGCTTAAACTTAATGAAACTTTTATACTTACATACGCTCTATCCCTGATATCGAGTACTTTAAATCATATATATAGCGCACCTTAAAACTATATTTTTATCATATATATATATATATATATATATATATATATATATATATATATATATATATATTTACCCATTTCTCATCGGGTGCTCACAGATGACGAAAAGTGGGTCCTGTATGAGACTCACAAGCGTGCCAGACATTGCTTGTTAACACGGGATCCTGTACATCACACCACAAGATCGTATGTACGTACACTCATGCAAAATCATGCTCTGTATCTGGTGGACTAGTCGGCAAGTGATGCACTATGAGCTGCTACCAACGGACTAAACCATCATTGAGGACCTGTACCCGCAGCAACTGGAACATGTACTCCAGGAAATGAAGTAGCTCCAGTATTGGTTAATCGCAAGTGTGTACTGTTCCTCCATGACAATCGGAGGCCTCGTGTGGCGCGGCTGATCAGGGATTCCATACGGCGACTTGGCTGGGAAACATTGTACCATCCACATTTCTTTCCGGAACTTGCACCAACAGATTAGCACTTCTTCCAATTCCGAGAAATCTCCTTCGTGGGAAATACTTCGCAAATGAACTTATGACAGGCAATCACAGATTTCTTTGCGTCCAAGACATCTGATTTTTACCGCCAGGGCATTGCGCAGCTGTAGGCACGTTGGCAAAGGTTTTTGGATGTCAATGGTGATTACTTTGAGGACAAAACGGTATGTTGAATTTTCTGTATAACCTTTTTTTTAATAAATCAAACATGACAAGGACTTTTTAGTTATTTTGTACGAAGTGAATACTAGAGAGCCCGTCTACGAAACTCTAAAATCGGGATGCTGAAGGTACCACCAATCAGCTAAGTGACAAATTTTATATATATATATATATATATATATATATATATATATATATATATTCTGTGTGTGTGTGTTTGTATGTGTGTGCGGGTTTATGTATGTGTGGATAATTGAATAAGAAAATGAAAAAATAACAATTGTCCCCCCCCTAGTTGGGTTAAATGTTGGGATAAAATGTTATGATAAGTTAAGATGTGTAATGCAAAGCTGCATGTTTTGATAATAAAATAGTCACTTCAGTGTGCACAAGTAATGCTTGTGAGGGAAGACAGTTAACTGATCGAGCCGAGCTTCTCGGCTTGACGGTCGAACTCTCTGCCTCTGATCAGAGAGGAACCCGGACGAGGCTCCGCTGAAGGGCAGAGCCTCGTTCGGGGAGGTTGACAACCCGATCCCGTTTATACGGGTTCTACGGGCATTTTTTGGCCGAGCCTATGGGCTCGGGAAACCCACATTAAACTCGGCCTTGTGCCACATGCAACCCTCGTGGGGGGGGGGCTAAGTACCGAATCGAGTCGAGCCGATATTAGTTCACTCCAAACCAGACTGACAGTCATACTAACACCTTCCACATCTTTTATTATTGTTTCGTGTAATATACCTTCGTTATTTCTACACTTGTGTTCGTGTTGTTCTTCCTTGTTCCTAACCTGGACCATAACAATACCACTTCTCAGCAGAGCATTGTTTCTTTGTTCATTGCGATGTTACTCTTGTTTGTATCATATTCCGTTTAGGAAAATAATACAAATAAAATTCATTAATTTAGTTTACCGTACCTCTTACATTTTTCTACAAAAAGAGGATGATCTACAACGTTTTCTGGGCATAGGCTCCACGCATACATCTGATTTAATCAAAATAAAACGAACAATTTATTGACTAGTGAGAGCCATTCCCGCTCAAAAAGCCAGAACCTTAATTCAGAGCCGATTGGCGGCCATATGATTCGAACAAACCCAAAACAGACCAGCGTTCAATGTCAACACGGGCAATCTGAGAAAAAGAGAGAGACAGCGACAACGACAGCCATCACCGATATCTATTTCACTTTAATTTCATTATTCTCCGTGTTGCCTTAGCAACAGATAGAAGTTACTAGTCTTGTACATACGGGATGAAATTCGGTCTCAAAATGCACAAACGCAGGAATGACATATAGCAAATAAATGTATTGACGTAATAATACAATTGGTAATACGGTTAGTAGATCCAGAAATGCGGTTTGTAGCAATAATAATAATATATATACAGTCTGGGAAATTCAGTATCGAAGTATGACTTCATTCTGAGTCTACGCGCTCGCAACTGTGACTCCTAAAAAGCGATTACCTCACACTCTCACTCTCTGTATCACTGTATAACTGTCACTCCCGGGTATTCACCGGCAGCAGTAAAAGTACACACTAGCCGAGTCCACTTGTATAAAAAGGGGTGGACCCCTTAACAACCGAGGAGGAGAAAGAATTAACATCCGCAACAGTAACAACAAAGTTCTGTCTTCCAAGTTATCAATTTCCGCTTCCGCAAAAAGTAAAATTTAGTTCATTTATAAAACTGATTTTTCTCTTTGGCCCGTAAAATACAGGAAATTATACGACGTATTTTGGGAAAACACTGATCTAAGTAATTCGAACAATTTAGGAATCTTGTGCTTCTGATTTCTTAACTGATTCTTGCGATGACTTGAAAGTAAGAAGAATTCTTTCCTACTCGGCTTGCATGATTTTTTCAAGGAGAAAAAAAATGGCAAGACTTACATTTGTAACATCCGGGTATACGCAGCAGGTCAAATGGTCAGTTCTTGGTTGAGCGCAGTCGAGTTCGAATCCTGTGGACATCTCAAATAAAAGGTGGGCTGTATGAAAAAATAAATATCCCCGTTATAAAATGAAACTAGCATGACTATTTCAATGGGTATAACTCTAGTACTGTACAAATTTAAATTCATTATGTGCTAAAAATCACTTGGCCTGTTATATATACTAGGTGGGTATCGGAGACTTAGCTTAAAGAACTGTACATCAGATTTAAAGAAACCACCATTGCTTGAGTAACGAATATAATTTACATATTAAATTTAGTCATAATCTCATTCAAATCATCCCTTTGGAAAAACCTACAACGTCCCCGTGATTCTTCCACGCCTCACCGTGTCTCTAGAAATGGGTGCAGCTAATCAGTGGTCGTTAGCCCAGTTAAGCTCTGAGTCATGCGTTTTCACACTGATGACAGTGATGGATGTGACAGGCTGTTGGAATTTTTGGGTACCTTTTAGTACTAGCGAGCTAGCCAAAATGAGCTGACTCATTTTATAGTCAACCAAGAGAAGAGTTAACCAATCAGAAAGCTCAAAATATTCAATCCGACGTGTATAAAGGCAGCCATTTTGTTTTTTCTCCCAAAATATCTCCACTGCCAACCTGATATCGAAGACTTAAAGAATTACTTAACAACCGCTACTTTCTCCGCATCTTCACTGCCAACCTCTGATATTGAACACATTACGGACTTCACTGGATTCTATATTTAGAGACTACGGCAAACATGGTTAACAACACAGGCCACGTTTATAAATGGGTTATACAGTCTCTTGTTCATCTCTGGCGAAAATATATAGCTACTAGTAGTGACTATATGGAAACATTGAACTCCCTGTATCTGTCTTGAAAAAGATTGATCAGTTAAACTTAGATTTCATCATAATCATCATCATCATTATAATCAATACCATGACCAGGTTTAGTCGTAGCACCGCTGCACAGTTGCGCGCCTAACCAATTCCCTCCATATATTCAGAGTTGAAAGTAGGGGAGGTAATCATTCATGTCAAATTTCTTTTGGGGGAAGACAAGTAGACCCGTGGAGTCCATCTTACTTCAGGTCAAACAATGCCGATGTCCTCCAACTTGAAAGCTCACCATGGTCATGGACATTGAAACCGTTGATTCTATCGAAGGCAACCTCCAAGCTAGCCGTTGACTTCAGTCTACGAAGGCATCTATCCAGCTTTGCCTTGTCATTATTGCACTAGCTGCATACATAGTCGTGGAGCATAGTCATTCCCATTGTGTTAGATGGCTGTTTATCTCACAAGAGAGATTTTTCTTTTAATCCTGCTGGATATTTAGCCACTCTCCTCACCAGAAAAGCCTGATGGGGGAACCAGTTTAGTTCCTGAGGACCCGACCCTGCAGGAGATAGCATTGTGTTTCATGGTCACAGTAGCTCTCTCAGAGGGATCTGATATGATTAATAAATAAATAAAACTAATAGAACAAAAACAGAAACAGTGGAACATGACGATGGTATTTGCGCCATATTACTATAAGCCCTTTAAAAATACCGGAAGAGATTTCAGAGGAATCAGAAGAAATGGTAAAACAGGTAATAATCAGAAATCGTTCAAAAGATAGCATCGTGCGTCATCATTGTTAACTCCCCTGTGAAACATAGAGCCACAGCTTCCCTAACAATAGGTGTCGCTGCTGCTGATATTTTTAAAAGAGGTAGATTTGCTAGCTACACGTCCAACTGGTTTTGAATTGTATTTCTCCTAAACTGGTTGTCAACCAAAGCTAAAGAGCCCAGTCTGCTCTGCATTTACCAGTGGTAGTGGTGGTGGTTGGGTGTAAAGACACATTCATACTTTTTCAATATTCGTGCGAAAGCAAACACAACGACTCTGATGTGAATTTGACAAGCCAATTCCACTTAGCGCGGTAATAAGCTCCACGCTACGTGCACATCTATAAAAGGACAGAAATCTTTTAAAATCATTTCAAATACAGAGGAGAGTGTTGGATTATTGAAACAAGCTGCAATATAATCTCCGGTGAAAGCCACATGATTTCGACTCTGGTGTGAAATTCAATGACTAAATAATAATAATAATAATAATAATAATAATAGAGGAATTGATTACGTACCAAATGTTAATGCTGATATGGCATACGATGGAGCGTCGGCTAATTTCTTCTTTATAGTTGGATAAAGATGAATACTCTGTTGGAATAAGGTACTCTCAATTTCTGTGAGTCTGTAACAAAAAAAAGACAGTGAAATGAATTAAGAGCTTGAAAGATTCTTTAGTATCCAGAGAAATATCGAGGTATATCAATATGGCATACACTTCAACCAATACACACACACACACACACACACACACACACACACACACACACACACACACACACACACACACACACACACACACACACACACACACATATATATATATATATATATATATATATATACAACAGTTCAAAAGAAGTTTGAAGCCACCACGAGAATTAGCATGGGATGAACTCGATAGAAGAGTGAAAAAAAAAGAGCTCTTAGAGTCACTGAAAAAAGAATGGAATCAATTATGAAACTTATACTTTGACAAACTTTTGCAACGAATGTTAAATATTTGGGCCTGCAGTAATCATGGCTAAAGGAGGATATGTTGACGAGAGAAAAATTTAATGGTAAATTGTTTTTTTTTATTTTTGTCATCATAAAATTTCTAATAAAAATAATGTATGTGTTTCGTCCTTTGAAGAACTACATTTGCTTTGATAACATTCCAAACGACGAAACGCGTCGGTTAAGATAAGTTTTTTTTTCTTTATTCGTATATATATATATATATATATATATATATATATATATATATATATATATATTCGGCATCTGCTCGCATCCGAGCATCGGGATCATCATCATCTCTCCTTTTCTCCCCTCTGGTGACGGTGACGGAGATGGATGTGAAAGCCCAGCCTGCTCCTGAAGAGTCGTGAGCAGGAGTCACAGAGGAATGTGGGTAGTAGATGTGGCCGTGCGATTTGGGCCCTCCTGACAGAACGTTGCAGATCCTCTTTATGTTGACGGTTGGACTCGAAAGCCTCGCCCTCCCCTACACCTCTGAATGTCTTACTCCAAGAAGGTCTCAGGGTCGATGTTGGCCTGTATCGGGATATATATATATATATATATATATATATATATATATAAGTGCGTAGGTTTGCAGAAAATAGAAAAGAACACGTTGGGTGCATAATCCGGGGTTCCTTAGTATTTTTTTGTTTTTTATTTTTAAGAAGACAGTGCTCCATACAGAAGTAGAGCTTATATTATAATAATATTTTTTGTTTAAAAATGATTCCTTCGCTACATAAGAGTTCTCATGTTTCAAAAACGAGAGCCGAAATATCCAAATAATTATTAAAATTAAGTTGGATTGTGGTGTTTAGTCCCGTTTCATCTTCAAGCGAAATTTTAGGAATAAGCTATTTGTCGGTTTACGTGTATTTTTAGGCCCGGTCATTTTGGAATTCGTTGTTGTGGGAGTAGCTAGACTATTTTCCTTCGTTATGGCCAGAGAGTTAATTTTATCAATAGATTCATCCTCTTCTAAGAGGTTTTGGTAAGGTTGAGTAGGGTATCTATTTCAAGGCTAATGTTTGCGGTCACCCTTTAGTTAGTTCCCAGTGAGGGATATTTTTATGGCGCGCCTACAATCGTTATGTGTCTGGGGAATTGTCTTTTATTATTGTCCATCTGATTATCTATTTATTTATTTGTTTATTCAAGTGGGTGTTTTATATACAGATCGCATTGCACTGAATTTCAATTTGTTTTTGGTTTTTTGACGACTACAAAAAGGGTTTTTCCTATTTAATGATTTGGCTTTGCTTTTAAGAATTTTACTTAGTTATGGGATTTTTTTTTATATGCTAATTATTTAATGCGAAAGTTTGTTGATGTCTGCAAAAACCGTTAACTCCTGCCTATGGTTTAATAATTTTTCATTATTTAGAAATTTAATGATGTGTAGTTTTTCCTGTAAGCATAAAGGGCATGGGTCATCCCAGGTTTTACAGGTTCTTGTTTTATTTATTATTTTCCATTTTACTTTTGGTGTTTTATTCGTTTCTTTTAGATGCCAGAAATATTGGAATAGAGATGTCTGATTTCTATTTTGAATATTGTTGAAGGAGCTCTTGTGTTGCCTCCATCTAATTTTAAAATTATTCTTTGTTGAGCCTATGTATATCCTATCAGTGTTAGGACTCTCAATGGATGAGATAGTGCACTGGTATACCACAGATTTTGTGAGGCATTTATTTTCCAACGGGCAGTTTTTAGGGTTTCTACAATCACATAATTTTTCGCTATTTTTATCCAATTTTAGTTTATGTGTTTTATTACTGTTTTGGTTTGCGTGATTTTTTAGGATTTTCTTATTATGTATTTTTATGATTCTTTCTATATTTTCAGTGCAGCTGTAACTCAATTTCAAGGTGTTTTTGTTAAAGATGTCGCTAAGTTTGCTATTAGTGGGAAAGTGCTTTTCAATTAAAGCTAGGAACTTATGGCCATAAGTTCCTAGCTTTAATTGATCTGAACTGTCTGGACCATTCTTCATGTCTACTATTACCATTAGTGCATTTGGCAGTATTATTTGGCTGGTGTACAGAAGTGGGAGGAGGCACGGTGAAAAATCGGAGAGCCGAGTTCGAATTCCATTGCATTCATTTACGTGCTAATACCCTTGGAAAAAGTATGAATTCTCTTCTTCTCCCCCAAGCTATAGGTAAATAGCAGGACAGTCCGGGTTCTATAGCCTTGGGTGGCAACTGGTCTACCGCAGAAAGAAATGGCAATTTACTGCGGGAAAAAAATCTGCCTCGGCTGTCATATATCGAAAGATACGTGATCGTCTAAGCGTATATCACGCATGGCACATAACTGACTGACTCAAACGCGCCAAGTGATTCCAGCATAACCCTAAAAATGTTTAAAAAATTTCTTTCATTTATTTCCCATATTTTTTGCATTCAGTTTCAGCGTTGCTGTATGATAAATGTTCACAAAGACTAAATCTCCATATACACACACGTAGCCTCGTTGCAAAAATCCACCGTATTAGGAAAAATCAATTTCTTTTATAAAGATTCGGTGGACCCTTATCAGGTTTTTGATTTGTGGAGCATGGAAATAAATTAGAAAATTTTTCTATGCAACCCACTCCACTCAATATCACTGGTTAGCAGAAGCTAATTTACATGAGCTCGCTGACCTCATTCAGTGGTGAAGCATTTTCCTTTTTTTCTCTACAAAAGCATGCGACACGAAAGCGTCTAGGCTATTTTCTTCTGTACAGTTACAGAATACGGAAGCTAGGCCAGGATGGCGAGTGATTGGTCAAAATACCTCGTGGGTGAGTAATTCTGACAGTCATGGGGGTCTTCGTCTAGGTTTTGGATATACGATTAAAACGGCGTGAAGATGATAGAGGGCGGAAAAAAATTTTGAAGTGCCGACACTTTTTCTGCACCCAAATTCTTAAGAGAGGCTAGATCACGTGCGGTGGAATGCTAAGCCCGTGGTTGGCTATGCGTTCCCCTGAAGTTCTTCCGCTTCCTCCTGGAATCAACGTTACCACGTCTGTCCTTCTCGTATAATAAAATGAATAAGAAAAACAGACCGTTTTTCGTTAATATAATCTATGAAATGACCTTGGTATCTGAATAGCGACACAGAACAGAACATAAGTCACTTGACACTACGAGGCAGCACATCATTTCTCAATATCATCAGCATTATTTTTTAATGCCGTTAGGAAACTCTTCTCCCCGCTATAGGCTAAAGAGCAGTGTAAAATGGGACCTCTAGCCTTGGGTAAAAACCAGTCTAGGAGAACGACTATTCTGAATTTAAAATCACGCAGAAGACAACGGGACATCGCTGTATTATCCTACCTAAGGTGTTGCAACAAGTCACAGATATTAAAAATTAGGAATTTGTGAAGGGACGTACTATTTAAAATTATTATTATTATTATTATTATTATCATTATTATTATTATCATTATTATTATTATTATTTTCTTTGATTTCTGGCTTTATACATTTCTTTCCGGGTCCCGCCCAGGGACCTAAGGTTAGAAATGGCATCATGATACTTCCCACTGACAAAAAAAAAAATATTACATAGATAAAGCCAATCGTAAAGTGTTGGCTGTACTTGTCAGAACAATTTTTTGTATCTCTTTGAGGCATGGACTTCCAGGAATCCCTTCAATTAGTCTACTGCAATCTTTTCCAACCAGTCCTAGGGCTCCAACTACAACAGGGATTGTTGATGTTCCCATATGCCACATTTTCGCGATTTCTATTTCAAGGTTCTTGTATTTTAACAGCTTTTTGAATATCTTCAAAGATACATTGCAGTCAGCAGGGACTGCCATATCAATAAGTAGGCACCGTTTTTGTTAGTGGTCTTTAATAACAATATCTGGGTGGTTGGCTTTGATTGTTCTGTCAGTGTGTATTGTGTAGTCCCATAGAATTGTAACAGGTTATTGTTATTATTATTATTATTGTCCCTTTGCATTTGTTTATACTAGATTGATGGTTGTGGATGAACATTTAAGAAGGATGCTGAGGCAGCGCATGTAAGCAACGAACATTTTTTAAGGAAAATAGAAACTAAAAGGACAATTATACTTAAAATCAGAAAAAGGCACATAATGAGAAAAGAGGGCTTGGAAAATTTGACACTCACACAACAGGAACAGAAAGAAGCAGCGAGAAAGCTATGTAACGGGCTTGTGTAAATGGATAACAGAACAAGAAGTGTAAGGTAACAAGACAAACATTGCTAAGAACTACAAAGGATATGAAGCTGTAGAGAGATAGTTCACGTCCTGAAAGGACACGGCACATATAATAATAATAATAATAATAATAGAAAAGAAGAAGAATTAGAATAGATCTCGTCATATTAATAGTAGTTGTAATAGTTAATGATTCTTACTTTGATGTTGTGAGATCGTAACGATGCCGATAATGCTTCGAGATTAATGCTAAGACATGCATAAACATCGGTGTAATGGGAATTTATAGCTTTTGCTGTTGTTCTCTTAGGAAAATAAATAATGACAAGTCTAAACGGATTTGGTCGTAAGTGTAGGGATTATTTTTATCTCCATTTTCAATCGAAGTAAGTTTATGCAGATCGTTCACAAACGTTATATCAATTCATGAC